TCGAAACCTCTCCTTCTGAATTTCTTGTCTTTTCGATAGAGATCTGACCACTTCTTCAGGCTAGATTCAATCCGTGCTTGGTTTTGTGACATGGCGGTAATGTCATATCGTTTGTGTTGTGGTACAGGGATGCTTTTTTCTTCCATTTATCTCCAACTTGCGTGTAACTGCAGAGTTGCAATGTTAGTTGTAACGGGATATGCTTCCACTGCGAGACGCTGTAATTAGCAAAGTGAAGAAAACGGTTGGAACTAGGCGACGTGATATCTCTAGATCAGGAGCCCCTAACTGGTGTCAGTATGCCTGGAGTGCAAAGATGCAATGGAAGCATGAGACGCCATGGGTTTCTATTGTTGCTTTTGAAAAGTACCTCCATCAATCAGCCGAGTGTCGAGGACCCTAAGGATCTGGTGTACGGCGATGATCGTATATAAGAGTCCTCCCTCTTTAGCCGCATTTTGTGACAGGACAGCGTAGCCCACTACCGAATGTGTAGGTCACCGGATTTTATAGATCGCACCGCTTCTTGAGTCCTATTTCGATCTGTGTTTGATTGCTCCGTTGGCTCATGTTGTTTGCGTCGAGATACAGGAACGCTTCCTGCTTCCGGTTTATCTTGACTTTACGTGTGGCTGCAGAGTGGATTTTTGGGTTATACCTCCACTACCATAAATCAGTGACAGGTCATGAGAATATCCGGTTGGATATTGTGCATCTTCTCTCGTGTTGCCGTATGTAATTTCAAGCACACCAATCTGTTTATCACAACATTAGCCTACATCTAATCTTCTCAAAAGTGATGACTTACCAAGTAACTAGTTGTCGCTGACCAAAGCTACCTTTCGAGCAGGTAGAATTCCAGACCTGCGCTGGATGGTGGAAATGTGGAAGTAGGCAAGCATCTCCTTGGCTTTGTTGATCCAGTCAGAGAACAATTGCCTTAGAGGAGCTTACTGAAGCATGCGTAACGGTTATAATGCACTCATGGCCATGCATCCTGGGCTTCAAACCCAGAGCAGCAAGGTCAGGCCATGGTAGACCTCCTTTCTGGTAGAATGACCGCTCCCGAGACTAGCAACAATAGATTGTTCACTGTCGTTCAAAATGTAGCCAATATTCAGGCCCCCGAATGTGTCGGGCACGCTGATGCCCTGCTGGACGCTGTGATGAGCGAAACTAGAAGAATCGTGGGTACTCGGTCACGCCATGATACGTCTGGACCAGGTACTGCTGATGTATTGTTCCCCAGACGCAAATATTCAATGGAAACAGGAAACGCCATATGGCTTTCGCTTCTTTGTCAGTCTCGAAAAATAGCTCAACAATTCCACCGAGTGTCGAAGACCCTGCCCATCTTTGGCGTACCTCGCACATGGGAGAGCTTCCTCTCTAACTGCATTTAGCTCGTCACCGGTCGTATATATACGCGATACCCCGTTCCTTGCCGGGATGGCGCAAGTGGTAGAGCGCCATCTGGGTGGTCACTACAGTAGCTCTCATTGGACAGTAGGGTCTGAGGGGCTCCCTTACTAAAATTTAAGAGTTCAATGGAGTGACCGAGGTTCGAATCCTACACCGGCCATCATTTACCACGGATGCTCGTCGTACCCTACACCTCTAGTAGGGGGGCCTGAGCCTGGATGGGAGGGGAATACAGACAAAGTCATGTACTGATATGGCCCAAGGATATTGCAGTATACTTATTATCTCTTGGCCTGTGTTTGAAATGTGTATCTGTAATTAGGGACGAGCCCTATATGTGGTGTAAGGAAGTGGCTTTTGTATCTGTATATTAACAACGAGACAGTCTGCCGAATCAGGTCAGAAGTTCACGGGCTCTATATCCTGTACATATATAAAAACTTGTGGCCATGCCCAGCCACCTACATTGACCTGCCGCCAATCGGCCCATATGGCTGACAGATGCGTGAATGAAATATACATACATACATACATACACCCCGTTCCTTTCGCGTTTGATATCTGTCCCGCTCTTGAAAACTATTGTCACCTTACAGTCTTCAGGATCCTTCACACATTTTCTGTCCTTCGTTATCTTATTTTGTAATGTGGAACTCGGTTGGGTTGTATGGCTTCAATATGGTCACAGTTTCCTTTCAACGTTGATGGATTTTCCTGGCTCTGGGATGTTTTTTTTTTTCGAAGGCATGTTTCATTACAATATAGACAACGCCTATATTTATGGCTCTCCTTGCTAGCTTGTTCGGATTCTTTCCATGCTTCCCAGTTTATGTGGAGTATTGCACTACCCTGTGCATGAAGTGTCCTCCTTGAACTGGGCTTATTAATAAGGAGCAACAGATTCAATTCCAAGGATATAAAACCAACGCTGTTGGTTTCCGAAGTGTGTCGCACGTGCGAACTTTGGTAGTGCTTCTTGGGTATCTTGGGTACCTGTTGCCCTGAATCTCCTCTCGAAAAATGCGCTTCTTAACTGCAAGTTGCTCTTGATGAGCTTTCCGTCGAAAATATAGGCCCTAAGAGCTATCGTATGTATCAAGTGAAGCATGGTCACTCGACGAGTGGTCAACTAGGACTCGCCAAGTTGTTGTTTTTCTTCTTTTTTTCTTTTTTTTCTTTCAACTTTATCCGTACGCCCATCAATCTGTGGGTCGGTCAGTCGCCGGGTCTAAAGATTCAGGATGAAACATGCCTCATGGCATTATCGATTTCCCTCGTAAGAATTCGCGACAACCACTATTTCAAAGTTGGAATTCAGTGGGGCTAGGGGAGAGGTGATGGGAGAGCAGTAATGGTCATGTGCGGGCCTTAATTGGCATGTATTTGGTTAAATGACTACTTGTCGTGTCAGCTTCAGCTGGGCCATTGTTCGATATGCAATGCGACCAGCGCCAACGCTGTATGAAGGCGACATCAGTGATGCTTCCGTGAAGTTCTTTTGGAAGTAAAAGCGGAAGAGCGCGATTCGCCTAGCCTTAGCTAATGCCACGAGAGGCTCTAGGACAAATGCTATCCAGAACCGGCGCATTTCGCATTGCATACAATGCGCTGGTTTCGTCCAATATTGTTATCATTCAGAACATGAACTGGAACATCCATCCATCAGATTCCATGGTTATTCTTTTGGTCTTTTCACTTGATTAAATTAACTAGTGCTGTATGCAGTCAGGAACCAGGAAGTTCGTATGAAAAGGAGACAAGAATGACTTACCCATGGCCAGGAGCTGCGGCACGCTGTTTTGCCTCAATGGCACATAAGCTGCTCTCGGTGCTTCCTTGCTCTGAGCAGTTCTAATTGTTGGCAGAAAGAAAGACTGTTACCAAAAAGATATTTGAGGTCGATATAACGCATATCGTTCCGGTAGAGGAAATCTGATTCGTTACCTTGTCTATTAGAAGTCGAAATATGCTTTGATATTTTCCACAGCCAGATTTGATATGACGTTGTAAATGTGAAATTGAAGCCACAGAACGACGGGGAACATGGGGCTTTCGTCGGTATGTTAACTGAAGTATATCGCCAATCCTAGGGTATGTCGCTAACCAAAGCCCAACCCTTGTTAGATGGGTTCAAATGTAGCCTCTTCATAGGTTGTTTTGTGATTCACAATGTCAAAAACCAATCAGTTTTTCTCAAACAATCGGCTGTTCAAGGCGTTGGTCAGTGTTTGGACTGTTTAGAATAGCTCCATGTCTCTCTTCATTCCGACTCTCGAACACGACTACGACCCCATAAGGATGGCAGATCATGCATTTTGCAATATCGATGCCGCGGTGCTATCTAGATTCAAGAAATGTTCCGCATGAGAAGGCATATTTATACCAACTCTCGGCTCATTGTCCCCATAATTAGAGAGAGGACGCAATATTTTAGCGTCTATCAGGAACGCCGTCTATCCCGCCAAATATGGCATTCTGCAATAGGAGGTCTTCGCGCAACCGGATTTGTCCTCGATGAACACAACGGACGCCTCGTGCTCGTCACAAATTTGCAGAATTGTCTGGATGAACCTGTGCGTATCTTGAAACGTTTTGTCTCTCGCGTTGCCCAGAATCACGAGTTTTGTGACTGTGTTATAGGTGGGATCAGGATGAGTGCCATATCCCCAAATGTCTCTGCTTTGTACTGCTCTACGGCAACAGTGCCGTATATTTAGAGATTCACGCTTAAAACTCATTGTTGGGAAGCTCGCGGGACTTGTACTAACTTCTATTGCAGAAGAAGGGAGACACAGCACGTCTGAGCTGGTGGTAACTCGTGGAAAGGAATCACAGAGAACCTGCGTTTATGCCAATAAAGATTGGGACATACGTACTGTCCATGGTGGTTGTGCAACATGTGAGCGTCGAGTCTATGGTGGCAGGATAAAAGGTCATGTGTCTTTAGGTAGGGTGGAAACCGAAAATAAACCTCGACGTCGAGTGCCGAATTCGGGGTGTTCAAGATCTGATTATTCGTCCTTGTACATCACCAGAGAGGTTATCATAGTCTGACCAATTGATTCAGCCACTTGTGTATGGCTATTTGCACAATGCTTTTCAGTTCTCGTCCATTCCGTCAGGATATCGTCTTTTTGTCTGATGGAGCAGTGTGAGCGGGAAACCAGAAATATTTCTGGATAGCTCGAGCTCCTCACCTCAAAGGAGACTACCGGAGATTAAGTATTGAAAATTGCAGGGTGTTTGATGAGAGTTGGGAAAGAATACCGTGTGGATGAGAAGAGAGTTGTTGGAGGGCAAAGGTTTGCATTCACCAATATTGCTGATAGTCCCGTCTATTCACTCTACAGTCTCCCCCACTCTCTAGAAGAGAAAAATCTGATTAAGCGGTTTGTAGTTATTCGATAAAAATATTACGGCCAGTAAAATGGTGCATGATCATGAGAGATGGGTAGCTATGCACTACCCGAAAAATTAAGCGTATATAATCGCAGCATGACGAAGGATAAGCAATCTGTTTCATCCAGGCCGAATCAAGAAACCATAAAGCAAAACACAAAGACCTAGCCGCGGCGGCTCTAATCCTCCTTCTCAGACTGATAGGCGTTCCTCCACCGCATACAACAGCCGCAGTTATCCGTACAGTGTATCTTCATGTCAGAAAACAACTCCTGGAGCTGTCCATCACAGCTTTTACGGGGCCGTGTACAGCACCCACAATCGCGCGCGCAGCAGCCAAATCCATTTTTACAGAACGTCTGATCCCGTTCCCATTCTGCCTCCCGCGATCTCTCTGAAACTTCGAGAGTCCAGGAACCCGAAATCCATTGTGCGTCTATTTCAAGGTTTTTCCGTGCAATTTCGTCGAAAGCTACTCTGACCTCTTGAAGCCTTCTGTTATCTTTTTTCACCAAGGCCTCGTCGTCTTTACTCAAGGTACCGCCGGCCTGTGCTTTTCTTGTCTCCATTATTGACTTGTTTTCCAGGAGCCAGAGTTCTCTCTGCGCAGTGACTCTGAGCCGGCGAAGGTTTGCATCCCGAGACCTGATGAGTTCTGTTTGTCGTTTCTTTTCCGCCGGGGGAGTCAGATATCGGTGGAGAGCTCGTACTATTGTCAATCGGTAGGTGGAATTTTGTCGGTATAGATAAAGCTCCATTGGGACGAGAAGCGTCTGCCGTGTTTGCTTGTGGAAAACCGTAAAAGCCACTCCCAAGATCACGGCACAAAGTGTGCCGACGATGGTTGAAATGATGTTCATCTTGTTGGCTAGCTCAGACCGGAGAGTGAGTGTGTACAGGAGTGGGGTAGAAAGGAAGAAAGATAAAAGGTTTTGATTTTTTTTTATTATTCTATCTTTGCCTAGCCTGTCAGGCACTTGTAGGCCGTCATAGATCTGTCGTGAGCCTCAAATTAATTTTACTGCAATTGCCTCAGGCCAGAAGGCAAATTATCTATCTATTTACAACCGCGTGTACACGGTATTGATGCCGCCTGTAACAACCATTTTGATATTGACATATTCATCCAGACCATACTTGCTACCCTCTCGACCCATGCCGGAATGTTTGACTCCTCCAAATCTACAGAACATGTCAGTCTACTCAACTCGAGGGTTTGGGTAATATAAAACTTACGGAGCTGCAGCATCTGAAATCACACCCGTGTTGAGCGCAACCATTCCGAATTGCAGCCTCTCGGTGACCCGATGCGATCGAGCCAAATCAGTCGTCATGACATAGGATGCGAGGCCAACGTCGCAGTTGTTGGCCTTACTGATAACTTCGTCTTCGGTTGAAAATTTGTACAATGCCGCAATAGGGCCAAAGGTCTCCTCAGTGCTTATTTTCATGGAGTCGTCGACATCGGCCAAGATGGTGAGTTCGTGAAAGTTTTTCCCAAGTGCCGATAGCTGGCTTCCTCCAAGAAGGACTTTCGCGTTTTTGCTCACAGCATCTTGAATGTGCTCCTTGACTTTGCTCACCCCATTCGTCATGGGTCCATGAGTGACGGTATCCTCGGCGCCATTACCGACATGGAACTTCTTGACCTCTTCGACTAGCCTCTGGCAGAAACGATCATAGATGCCTTCCTGCACATAGATCCTGTTTGCGCACACGCACGTCTGGCCAGTTACCTTGAATTTGCTGGCAAGGGCACTGGAAGCCGCGATCTCCAGATCCGCATCATCGAATACAATGAATGGGGCATTACCTCCCAGCTCAAGACTCAACTTCTTCAATGTGTTGCTGGACTGCTGCATTAGGAGCTTGCCAACTCTTGTGGACCCGGTAAAAGATATCTTCTTAACGGTGTCTGACTGGCAAAGTGCCAAACCAAGCTGCGGCGTATTATTTAGTGCAGTCACAACATTCAGCACACCCTTTGGTATACCCGCACGCTCCCCCAGCACGGCCATCGCATTCAAAGAAATCGGTGTAAGTCCATCCGACTTGAGAACCACTGTACAACCCGCCGCCAGCGCAGCCGCCACCTTCCTCGCACCCATCGCCATAGGAAAATTCCAAGGCGTAATCAATCCACAAACACCAACAGGCTGCTTGATAACATGCGTCCGGCTAGTTGAATTGCTGTGCGGAATAACATCTCCATAAACCCGGGGAGCCTCTTCTGCAAACCACTCGAAAAAGCTGGCTGAGAAAAGAACCTCGCCTTCTGCGTCTGCTTTTGCTTTTCCGTTCTCCGCTGTGATAATCCGGCCAAGGTCGACCTTGTTTTCGACTAGGAGGTCGAAAAGCTTTCGGAGGATGCGTCCGCGTTGGCGGCCTGAGAATGCTCGCCAAGTTGGGAAGGCATTGGATGCTGCGCGGATTGCGTGGTTTAGATCATCGATGGTCGATTCGGGGCATGTTCCGATGCGGGTCTCTGTGGCCGGGTTCGTGACGTCGAATGTTGATGTAGATGATATCCACTGACCGTCGATATAGGATTTCTCAACGAAGAGACTCGGGTCTTTCAAGGTAGATGCAAAGGATGGCGCCATGTTTGTGATTCAAAAGGTGAAATATTATTCACAGAGAGGGATGGTTGTCGAAGAAAAGCTTCATATTAATACATTGACAAATTCCAGATGTCCCTTCATTCTCGGGATGCCAAAGAAGAAAGTCACTCCGATACTTTCCCGATTCCATTACACCTATTCTCGAAAAAAAGGTTGGACATTGATCACCAATAGCAGCCCCCGAAATGAGCTTCCCCGCAAAATAAAGGACTAGGAAGACACCCGATCCTCTCTCCAACATGAAATACATTATGCTTATTGCCGGCCAGTGGGAGGTAAGATGGCGCGGGGTTGTCTGCATTCAGAGTAATGCGGGGTAAGATGCAGCTGCAGAGTACTGCATACGGTCAATCGGTATTTCAAACCAGACTGCCAGTACTAATGAAGCTGATGCATAGATAAAGATAACAGCAATCGGGTAAAGAGTATAGCGTCTGTGCCATACAATCTCGGATCCGGCTCAATCCTACCGATTCCGATTATAAGGCTGTACATCCTGACCCAAGATGGATCCCGAAAACCACATGTATGTGGCCGAAAGATATGTGCTCCGATCAAATGCACAATGGTATGGTTCCGAGCAGCCTCCGCAGAAAAGGATTGAGGTTGCCGATGGTCTTCAGCTGATGAACGACATGGATCGGACAAGTCGAGGGCTTCTTTTATAGCAGTTCTGATCATTTAGTTTTCGGGGCTCTGCAAGTTAGATTCGATCGAATATGCTCGACCGGACCTGATAAAGGAGCCCAAAGCCCAGAAGGAAGAGGTATAAACAAACGTGCCATTGTGCTTCTGAAATGAGAACAAAGCGTCTTCTTTATTTAGATTAAGCACCCTATGATCGGCCTTATTTATTACGGATCCATGTCTTTTGCAACTGTGATATTACCCAGCCCCTCCATTTGCGCTACTAAAAATGATCAGTACTAACACCTCGTACTCGTCCTTATGTTTATCACTCTGATAAGCAATGCGCGATCTTTCCCTTTTTGTTTATCAAATGCGAGTCTCCACAAGGCTCTGATACTAGTGCTATGTGCGGGGTATGCACATGACGTTCCGGGATGGCGATGCTCTTACTCTTGACATGGCACAATACAGACCAATCCACTACGGCGCCGTAATCCACGGAGCAAGAAGCCATGCTAAACGATTCATTTGAATATGTCAACGAACTTCAAAGTAACTCCTCGCAAGCTTAAAAGGACGCAAAACGCGTAAATTACCCCGATTTTCATGGATCGGGCCCAAACTGATAACATATCACAGATGCGTTGCTTGCCGGCAGAGTAAGATCAAGTGTTCTGGTGAGGAACCATGTACCAATTGTCGGCGACGAGTCATGAGGTGCCGGTTTGTGGAAACCGGGAGCAATGTCATGGTAGCAGAGAGGTTTGTCAGTCGTCCGGTCATATTGATATAGAACTAACAGGAAGCTAGATATTTCCAGAAACTACAGGCCCAGGCTAGACTTCAGCAGCAACAGCATACATTTGCAGTTAGGACCCCATCTGAGAGTACCTTTCCAGAGGATGTATGTCCTCCGGCGGAATTATCACAGCATCAGCCGATTGATCATACAAGGAGTATCTGGACAAGTCCTTTTAGCCTTCCTTCGAGAATCCTTAAAGATGCTTGTGGAAGCAAGCGCAATTGGAGTGAGGCAATGGTGATGGTTCTCTAGTTTTAATTTTAAAGCTAACAATGTTATATAGTTTGGCTTGCTCCCTCTTCTCTATGGTCGCTCACTGCACGGCTCAAGGTTATGATAACAGAGAAACTTAATCTTGAACCTCTCAACAGCAGTCCCGGTCTTCTAGAAGGCGACGTATATGCTCCGCAATGGCGAGATACTGCCCCAAATGACCCTCCGGATATTAGTGGTCTACCATCAATCGACCAGGCTCTCTATCTATTCAACACAGTTAAGTTTCATCTCGGACAAATCTATAGATTCTTCGACGATGAAGAGGCATTTGTGAGCCATGTACGGGAGTTTTACCAGGGTGATGCAGTGGCGAAAGCAAGCGAATGTCGCTTATGGTTTGTACAATTTCTACTCGTTTTGGCATTTGGAAACGCGTTTTTGTCACGATCAAGAGGTACCAATGATCCTCCTGGGTCAAAGTTCTTCGTTCGCGCGACATCCCTGATGCCGGACCTTGCATCTTTGTGGAAGGATAGCTTGCTGGCTATTGAGGTTCTGGCCATGATGGGGTTATACCGGTATTCGATCGATCACAGGGAGTCGGCGCATGTCTATGTAAGTAATACGCTCCTGTCTAGCTCTTTAGCTAATGGTTCTGCTCAGGTTGGCCAAGCAATACGCATAGCGCAACTGGGAGGATTGCACACTCAGTTACCCGAGGAAGAACTTGGTTTAAGAACCTTGACAAGATGCCGAAATCTTTGGTGGACTTTATACATTATGGATCGACATTTCTCGTCCTCTGTTGGAATTCCAATGACAACGCACGATTGTGATATAACTACTCTAGTCAATCCATCGCAACAAGATACAACTCTCAGCCTTCAAGTCAAGCTCTCACGAATGCTCTCGACGATTCTGGCGAGTGAGTTGACTATTATTCCTTTATATCGTGACATGTCTGACTATTTACTTTTCAGCAATATACAAGACCGAAAGAACACAGCTGGGAATATTCCTGGAACAGACACGATCTATCCTGCATACAATGGCTAGCCACGCCCAGGAAATTGAGAAGATTATTCATCTCAAGTTCCAGAACTCAGTGGAAGCCATGCCTAGAGGAACGCGCCATATTACTTTGTCGTATCACCAGGTTCGCAAATAATCATTGTAGCAATCTTACTTTCCATCATGCTAACGATATACTCGGCTCAGTGTGTCATTGTCGCCACGCGACCCCTTCTCCTATCAATTCTAAAGGAAAGACTCGAGAAATTGGATCATGGAGAAGAAGATTGGCAGAGTTTCCTGGCTCCGACCAAGGCGTTGATTAACACCGGGATAAAATCAGCAGTCAAAACACTTCAGATACTCTCGGATGAGGATAGTCTTCTCGGTGCGTCATTTATTTCTCTTCCTCTTCTCGTCATGCTGGTAAAGTGAAGGAGTCTAACCCGTCCAGAGGTATTCCTACCATTTGAGCTGGAGTTTACATACGGCGCCGCTATATACCTAACAATGACAAGGACGCTCTTCCCACGGGTTGCCGATGGCGAGGCGGGTAGTCATAATGCACACTCAATACTGGATGAGATGATCTGCAAAGGGAACAAGTTGGCTGAAGTACGGAAGACGGAGTTAACCCAAATTGAATCTCTTTTCCAGCAGCTGGCCACGCGGATTGAGCAGCAAGGTCTTCAAACTTTGACGCTGTCCAGTCCTGAACAGAGTGTCGTGAGCACCAGCACTGGCTATAACAACAACAATGATAATGGTAATCAAGGATGGGAAGATCTCGCAACTGCAATTGCAACTGATCTTCAGACAGCCACACACTGCATGCCCGGGGATTCTCAATCACCGTCGGGCCTGCTTCCGCAGGATAACAGCGATCTCGAGTTTCTCGAGAGTATTGGGATATCATCTTATGAGTTTTTTTCGATTGTAGACGGCATTGATGATAATTTCGGGATTCTGGATCCAGGACAGGGCTGGGGAGGATGATGTGTCTTTGAACATACAATGGTTTATTCCTTGTAGTCTTTGAAGGGCTCGATTTTACAAAGTCCAGTAAATACATGAGATGCTAATCCAGAATGTCAAACCAAACAATAACAACATATGAGCTCTTTCAGGTCCCCTAATTTGTCTCTTCGACTGCTGTCATCATTCCTAACCCAATGGTCAGATTCTGGTCACGCACGATTACACGAGCAAGAGATGCATAGTCAGAAAATTTCTCAACGACCATCGACTCAGAGGGAAGCCTTTTGAGCAAGGCAAGATCACCCGACTTGATGGAGTCGGGGCTATCCTCGATCAACTTGCCTGAACTCCCATGGGACGGGGTGTCTGGGTGCGGACAGTTACGAACCAGGTACTCCTTTGAACCACAACGGAAGCACTCGCCCCTCTCCTGGCGAGAAGGGCCCTGGTGGTCGAGAGGTGTACGCCGGGTGAGAGAAAGATTCATAGCGTCAGGGTGGGGCTTCACAGTTTCAACTGGGGCTGAGGCCTTTGGGGTTGCAGGATATTGTATAAGCCCACTAGGTCTACTAGCAGGGGCAGCAACTGTAGGTCTAGACACAGTAGCATAGCTTCGATGAACAGGGGTATTTTTATACTGAAAGCGTCGATTCTCTGGATTCTGCAAGAAACTAGCGAGTTGGTGATGGTCTCCACTTGGAGACTCGTGGTGCAGCAGCATGTTCCGTAGTTCCCGGTTGATAGCTTGCTACAGCAGGGTTGGCAGGGCAGTCTCTGGCATTTCTCCTTCTAAGGCCAGACGTTGGAATTCAGCGAAGAATACACTAAACCCCTTATTCCCTTGTCGCAGGCGGAAGAGTTCATTGCGGGCATTCCGAACTCGGTTCGGGTCTCCAAAAGCACGTTCGAGGATGTTCAAGATAGCCTTGTAGTCGGTCAACTGGCAAATGCCATCACAAATGTATGATAACACTTGTGCGTACGGGGCTCCTTTCAAACGATTGGTCACATATGTCATTCGGCTCTGGGGGTTTGGGAATCGGTCATAGTTCACATTCATTTTCTCCTGGATCTGGGAAACAAACCGGTGGAGGTCCTTACGGTCCCCCTCAAATTTATCAATGGGGAGTCAATTATCCGGACTGCACGAGGCTATAGGCGAGGAGTTTTAATTACACGAAAGAGTGATATGGATAGGCTATATCCACCATGATAAAAGAATGAGTGCTTAGCCATCTAAAGCATATGACTACAGTGTCCCTATATGAGGAATCCGTCGGCCTCGGTAATCAGGCCGACTATTATATATCCATCATATACCCCTATATATCGATATCCATATGCGGGGGTGGGTGGTTTGGGTAGAATGTCGATGGAGATATATGTATGTGTATTTCCGCTTCATATATCACCCATACATACAGTCAATTTCTAGTTTTGAGTGAATAACTCCACAACGAGGGGGCCTATGGGCCTCATATTTTGGATATAGATTTATATATGCTCTATAGGCCTGTATGAGTAGATTCTAGATATTTTGATGTTTTGCGGCCCCCTTGGCGCGCGGCTTCGAAACCTCGGTGATGCCTCCGCGAAATCCTGTACAGCACCTATCATGCCATCCTGGGCGGTGCTACTTATCCTACCTTCCTTACCTTCTTGTCCTCGTCCTCCGAGCATGCTCGTGACACTGTTGAACGCATCTCCCACTTTTGCTCATAGTTCCTGGCGTATATTTTTCAACCTCGGACAGTCCACTAGGGCATGGACCACCGTTTCCTTCGCCCCACCTTCGCAATTCTCGTCTTCTTGAAACTGGTGTAGTTTCCCATGTGCTGCTAGCCATGAGTGGCCGGTGCGTAGCTGTGTGAGCAGGTAGGCCCGGTTCCGCGGTAATGAGCCGTACATCCTTCGGGTGCGGACCGAGGGTAGTGTAGGGTCAATCCGGTGAAGATGGCGACCCTTCTTGGACTTCTTCCACTTTTGTTCCTATTGCTTTAGGGTCTGATCCCGGATGGGCCTTTTCTCACTTGAGACAGGCCGAAGGGGTGTGTTCCATTTGGGCCAACCGCCTCTTTGGCTAGCCGGTCCGCCGCGTCGTTTCCAGGGTTATCGCAGTGTCCAGGGATCCACTGGAGCCGAAGCGGGATCCCTCGCGTTTTAAGCTCCTCCACTGACTGTAGGATGGCGTAAATAATCCGCTGTCATGACTTAATGTTTGGGTTTCTAATAGCTTGCAATACTGATGTACTGTCCTAACAATACAGTCACTAGCGAAATCGGCTTCACCAGCAAACACATCATTATTATTTTCGGGCCCCGCTGCCAAGCCGTTAGTATAAGTAAAATATTGAGCATTATTATTATTATTATTAATTGGCCGATTGGCGGCAGCTCACTGGGGGACGATTGGACGAATCGCCAAATATTTACATGCTGGCCCGACGGCAGCCGGTGAGATCGACAATGTATAACTATACATAATATATACTCGCCAAACCAGTTGACGATTCCAGCCTTGCAGGGTAGTCCAGCAAGCCCGTACAGTTCAAAAAAGTTGTAAATCTAGCGGCCTCCGAGAGACGGCTAGCCCTAGTAATCTGCCTCGTCTCCATCCCATCTATTGCAAACGACAACTAGCCATCTCGTCTAGATCAGGCGGATGGCCAGTTTTAACAGCCCATGTAAGGGCGAATCTGACTGGACCACGTTATATTATCGCGAACTCTAATCTTGTGTGGAGATTCGATAATGACGTTGGTAAGGCGTTGAACTACCCAAGGAGTCTTGTGCTCAACATAAAGCGTGCGGTTTTGGCGACTAGATCTGGCCTAGTTAGAAATGACCACCAATCACGATCTTGCGTGCCAGGGAGCAGGTGCTCAGCCCGGGCTTCAGCGTGCCGGGGGCAATGGAGTGGTATGTGGGAGATGTCTTGTCGACCTCGGCCACATGAGCAGTCGGTGGTCTCCATGGCGTTGAACGTGCCAAGGTAACTAGCGAGGGCGATCTTCCCTGTCTGCATCTGAACCAGCGCTGAGCTGGCGGCCCGGCGGAGCCCGTAGTGCAGACGGAGAGTTGCACGGGTGGGTTCACTGAAGAGACGGCGGGGCAAGGCCCCGTGGTCGTTAAACTCCCATGAAGCCTTCCACTGCTCGTTGGCGTGTGATCGTAGTATCTGGCGTTGACTGGCCCGGAGGACAGGTTCCGTACTAGCATTGGCGTCTACTGGCACATCTGCTGTTTGGCGTGCAAGTTTATCAGCTTGTTGATTGCTCATACAGCATGGTGCATGCTATATTCCACCATACCAACAACAATCTCACAATCTGGACCAATCATCCTTACCAGGAACACAGGTTAAATCCAGAACCCAGGACCTGCGTCAGAAATATTCTCGACCCGGAATGAGGGCTGCTTATATTGTAGGGTAAATATATCTACATTCAGTACAGTACTATGGTTTATAAGATACAATCAGTTTACATCTATCTACTAGTTACAATGCAGCATTATTGCATAAATACAGTACGTGAATAGAACACTCAAACAATAAAATTCCATCTATGACATCCTGAAACAACTATCCTCTCTTACTTGCTGTACTTAGATACAATTTGCTGAAGTTCCTCGCTGACCAAAGGCTTTATTCCAAACTGATCATTCCACAAGCTCGCTGCCGGAAAGAGGCTACCAAATCCACCACCAAAGATTGTTCTCTTAAGAAAATTGTAGACAAAGACCTCCGGATTCGGAGAAGGCTTGCCCAATTCCGCAAAAGCTTCCTTCTCCAAATCATCGGTTTGCACGATTCTTTTGTGTGGACTCTTTCCGGAGAGTTCCAGAAGTTGACTCTGCGAGACCTCAGCTTCTGAGATATACACCACTCGGTTCTTAGTTGCTTCAAGATGGTGAATGATTCCGCAGATTCCTTTGCCCACACCGCGAAGGGTAGTTGCACTGAACTTTCGCTCGCCTCCATCATACAGGTCCGTAGCTAGGCCTGAAAGATTGACCAAGAATCCAACCATGAGACCCCAATCGAGGAACGGCCCGTTGGCCTGAATCGTATATGTTAAGTTCGAGGTATGCGAAATTTTCTCGAGATATTGTTGAATGGCAACTTTATCAGCATAGACCGGCAGCTTTGCCGCATTGGAATTGGTGGTGTCGCAGCCAAATTCAGAAGGAATAAACCGCTGGACCTGAACAGAGGCGGCGGCATCAATCAATCGCAGATGAATCTCTTTGGGGATTGCTCCTAGGGTGTTGACGACAACATCATGGCCGGCCAGAGCGGACTTGAGGGATTCCACGGAATTATAGTCAACCTCAGTGACTTGTGCTCGAGAATCGAACTGGCCAGACTTGCTAGCCCGCGTCAATACAGTCACTTGAAACCCAGCATCAAGGAGTTCATGAAGAACAGATGGACCAAGGTTGCCGCTGGCCTAGAATGGAAGGTCAGAAAAGCCATGGAATTGTTGCAAGGAATTAACTGACTCCAGCAATGGCGATTTTAGGAATAGACATGATTCCACGAAAGTTATGTTGTAGCACTGAGATGGATCAAGAAATAAGAGAATAATGAGAATTCGAATGCTAACTGAATGCCCCAAGGCATTGGATCAATTTATAGTAAGTTTGGCTATATCAAACTGAAAATATGACATGAGCAAGGAATCATCCGAGACTCAAAGATTGATAAGCAGAATATAATTATATAACTAAGATATGCGTAACTATATCTCTGGTGGTATCGGGGGCGGCCCCACCCCCACCCACACAGCAGTGACAAATTCAGGGATGAACATGAATAATACATGATATGATTCGAGCGAGAAAGCTGTCAAGGTTCTCATGAATAGTTGGGTCCAGGGCCATAGCCTCCAGAAGCCGGCCGGGATGCTGTGGAAGTCATGTTGTGTTTAGATTGTGGTGGGTGGGGTGTCCTCCGTATGGCTGTACCGGCATACCTCTCGTGTCTATATATTCGTAAATATACCTCGTAGACACATACTTTGTGTGTACTGGAAGACTGGACGGGGACGTGTTAACCAAGACCGACCAAACACTTCGCGACTATCATGCATCCAATTCTTACGCTCCCAACTTCCATGGGCCCCCTGACGACTGTGTCCTTTTCGAACATTGTAGATGGCCAAAGATGTGACACTGGTGTCATCCATCAGGGCCAGGACCCAAGGTCCAAATCCCTACTTTGGCCTGTCCCCTCTGCAACCGCCCAGGATCTGGATAAGGTAGTCCAGGCCGCCCAGGCAGCATTCCCGAGTTGGTCAGCGACACCGTGGGAGTGTCGACAGGATGTCCTGCGTGCATTGGCTGCGGCATTACGAGCAGGCAAGCACTTTTTTTCAGCGGTGGTCTCGAAAGAGACGGGGAAAACGGTATTGGGTGCCCGAGTCTCGAACGTGTCATGTATTCAGCAGCTAACCGAGGTTCATGTCAGACATTAATGGGTGATTTGGAGGTGGACCATAGTATCGATTTCCTAGAATTCAATGGTTAGTAGGACCCCCCTGTTCAAGAGTCACAATGTAACTGACAGTGTGCCCGATAGAAAGCCTCTCAGACAATCCCGGACCAAACAAGTGTATGTCCACCGGGACATTTATATGCAATTCCGTGACCGCTTGATAGAGGAAGTCAACCTTCTGGCGGGTAGTACTGATCCAGCGACGCCAAGTGTTTACGGACCGATGCAAAACAACATGCAATATTCTGTCGTACAGGATATAATCGAAGACTGTATGGTCCGCGGCTTCAACTTCTCCCTAGGTGGAAAGCCTCTCGCCCGCCAAGACAGCATGTTCATTCCACCCACCATTATAGAGAACCCGTCAGATGATTCTCGAGTTGTACAGGAGGAGCAATTTGGTCAGTATGGATTTGTGTCCATGATTCTCCCCACTTCACCCCTTGAACTCCATTCGGCCAACCTCCATCATGATTACTCCACCCAAGGACCTCAGCTGAAAAATCGTATTCGACAGGTCCCATCATACCGCTCCTATCGTGGGAAAGCGAAGACGAAGTGATTCGCCGAGTCAATGGTACCAACTGTGGGCTTGGGGCTAGCGTTTTTTCCAGTGATGTATCTCGTGCGGATGGAATTGGCCGGCAACTTGAGGTCGGGAGTGTGTGGCTCAATAGTTTCAGCAAGCCTCATCCAGCTGGGTACTTCTCTGGCCACAAGCAGAGTGGGATCGGAGGGGAATGGGGGAAGCAGGGACTGTTCGCCTACTGCGCAGCCCAGTCCATTCATGTTTATCAGTGAGAGATAGTGAAGCTGGCATATGAGATGATTGGCGAAGTTTTCATCCGTATTTTTGTTTTCTTTTTCCCTCTCACCTTCAAATATCCGACTGATAGTCACAAGAGAGGAGTATCCTTTCTTACTCGAGTGGTTAGAAGCGGGACAGTATCAAGTATTTAGTATATTGAGGTTCTCAAATTGCTTGATCAGCCTGTTCACTTGACTCATGTCGGTCTCATCAAATCGACTGAGAAGAGAGCCCGCACTCAGGCTGGTATCATTGTTGTCCGTTAAATCTGGGTTTTGCATGCCTTGGAGAATTGCTTGTGCCAGAATCCAGTATTCCGGAGCGTGCTGCATAAATCCTGTACGTTTCCATCTTTCGCTGGAGTATAGACCAGTCATTTCAGGGTCATGTTCGAGAGCGTCGTATCCATCCCAAAATGATTTCCAGTTGCTGAGACCTTGTCGGAGTGGTTGAACAGCCACTTCGGGAACAAGGGTGTTTCGTGAGTAAAATAAAACTGAATGGAATGCTTCGCTATATGATTAGCCGACCAAATTCACATCTTGTCTGTTGGTCTTTGAAGGAAGGAGAGCTGATGATCGCATACTAGTTGCAGCTTACAACATACCGCTTATGACTATAAACAGGTTCAGCTTTCCTAATCGAGCAAAATTCTCTCTGTTATCAGCGCCCAACTCATTTTGACACATCTTTGTCACCACAGATGCCACTGAGTATTTCTCTGCGCTAGGCATGCTGATATACGATCCAGCTAGATGCAAAAGGCACTCTTCGGCAGACTGCGCCTGGAAAGAGCGTTCAGAACACACAGGAGCCATCGATAGCTCGGCTATTGACAACTTCGGTGGCGTGTTATTGAAAATAACAAAAGCTGTATCGAGTAATAAAATGAATGAGAAGGTTCTGCACATGTCATTAGAATTCTAAGGGACAGATATCCGGCACCAAATGCACGAAAATCATACCTAATCAACTCCTCTTCCAAGATAAAACGATGCCAGTCCATGTCCTGTAATCGGATCTCATGATGGTTTCCGGATGCAAATCCAAGGTTTCTCGCAACCTGAAGCAGTGGAATAAATTAGCCTTTCTTGACATACAGCAAAGGGACCAAGCTGGGTATACCGCTATAACCATGCTATACCTATAGCATCTAATTCTCTGCTTGCTATTATTATCACCCTCCCAGTTTTGTAAAAGACAAATCAAATACGCGGCCTGGAGCGCCTGGAGGGTCTTCCGTTTTGGGGGGTGGTTCTCGCCCCTGGTTGTTATTGAGTATTGGAAATGCTCTTCCGCAAAGGCCATCTCCTCTGCACTGCTGAACCAGAGCTTCGCATTCCTTTTAACGGATTCGTCGGGGGAAAGGCTCGCACCGATCAACAACATGGGCACGAGCAACGTGTGGGGTGCGTTGTGGATACCGAATGTGGGCTTGTGGATTATCGGGCAGTGTGGGTACCAGAATGACCAGAAAAAAAGTAGGTATTTCTTGATATTTGGGGGGCTGAAAAACTGCACGCAAATTTGTTCAATAAGTGTTGACCAGTCAAAAGTGATTGGACTGCCTGAATTTCGGTGCTGCGTGGCAACCTTTAGCCCAGACACAATATTGTTTGTAACACCGACAAGAGAGTCCGAAAGCCAATCTTCAGAACCAAAGTACGTCCCCTCGGGCACATCCCCAAAGAAAGACGAAGAGCCTCGTGTCTGCTGGGAATTCCAAATGACCTCTGTGGGTACCGTGAATTCTGACAGCTGCACAATGTCCTGCGATGAAGAATTCAAGTGAGACAATTGACCCCATCTAGTGCCATCTTTCTCCGGATTCTTGTCAGATGACTCCTCCTGTACACTCCGGGTCAGATCCTTCATTTCGGCGGCACTTCCACATTCAAACGAGTCCGCGAACCCTGTAACGCTGGTGAAATGGTCCAGGAAATATAATCTTGTAACGATGCTGCTGGGATATGCGGACTGGACTCCTGAGAACGCATCACATACGTTCGATGGGAAATTGAACGCATATTCACTATCGAGAATGGACGGTAGCGGCTCCTCGGCCCAAGAATCAAGGGTGCTTGGATTCCAAGAGCCTGTTTCCCCGGCGGGGGTCATATTCAAGTCTGGAATTTCCAGGGGTGGAAAACATGGTTGATCGATCTCGAGCTCCGCGGTTTCTCTAGGTGCGGACAGTGCGAAGTTAGGGAATATGGAGGATGGAGCCTGCACCAGAGCACCCGACTCTGTCGCGGGGTGAGAATCCCCATAGGAGCATTCATGGTTTCTGGCGCGACATGCTTCGCAAGGAGAGCCCAAACTGCATGCCTTCTTGAGTCTGGCGCATCGATTACAGGCTCGCTTTTTACTAGGTCTAGGGGCATGAGAGTAGCGAGGAATCTCAGCACCTATATCGAGACGCAACTTGCAAGTCCGCCAGTGCCTCTGGAGAACATCTCTGGGGATGATGAGCAAACCCGAACCCTCTCGAGAAAAGGCTTGCGGCATTGACTAACCTTCGTTTGAACGACTGGCTACAGAATGTACAGTTATGGGGGCGATCACCTCCATCTGCAACATTAAATCAGCTCCCCACACAGGAAAGGTTTTCATCACTAGAGTCCATAGACATACGAGACATCAGGTGGCGTTGAAGGTGTTCATGGCGTCGGAATGACGCAAAACAAAATGTACAACGTAAAAACTGTGTACTAGACATGGGCAGTCTGACTGAAGACCGTGATGGATACGATGATGGATAATTTACTATGTGACAGGCGAAGTTGAAAATGTAGACCTGGGGAATCTTGAGAGAAAAGCAGAGTATTAGTCAGTCAGAGTGATCAACAGGCATCAGGCTTAAGTAAGCTGGGGGAGTCAAGTCTAAACTACCACGATGGCTTTTGGCGACATACGTACTACGCATTTCTATACAGGATTGACAAGACAAAGTTTTCAAGTTACGTAGGAAGGTGTGTACGGAGTAGGTACATATTTCCTGTATATGCAGCGCTTTAACCCGAAGTATAAACGTTAAGTATCTATATAAATGACATATTTGCTGACACCCTGTAAGGTTGGACAATTAGCTTCGCATAATTGTTACCATAGTAACAGGACACTGACCTTTTTCGAACAGTCTAGCTCGGTAATATCTGCGAGCCTGTCGAAACTAATCACTTCAACGTCTGGGACCACAGCTCCCCGGCTGACAAAACCAATGGCCTCTTGGATATCTCCACGGGTTCCTACCATGGATCCAATCACTCGAATTCCCTGGTCTATCAGAACTAGTGGGTGGAAGGTGACCTTTTCATCAGGTGATGGGATGCCAACGCATACAAGGGCCCCGAATGGGGCAAGCATACGAAATGCATCCTCATAGGCAGTCGCCTTCCCTGCTGTCACCAGTACGGCACTAACACCTTGGTCCTGTGTGACTCTTGCTACTGCTGCCGGGGTGTCCCTTTCGTGAAGGATGTCCACATAGAAATCAGCTCCATAGGTCTTACAAGAACGGCCTTTTTCGTTACCAGCGTCGATGGCAATCGTCCGGTAGCCCATTGAACGGGCGTACTGTAATGCCAGGCTACCAACCGCTCCACCAGCGCCGGAGATAGCAATCCACTGTCCTGGCGTTGCTCCGCAGATCTTAAGAGCCTTATATGCAGTCGCTCCCGCACACATGATTGGGGCTAGGTGTTCATCCGGCGGCCCCTCTGGCACTGGGATCAAGTACCTAGAAGGTACAATAGTGTACTGGGCAAACGTGCCATCGATCTTTCTCCCAGAGTGGAACTGCTCCAGACATCGGGGCTCTCCTCCCTCCTTCAGACACATGGCACAGTGCCCACAAACATCGCGAACCCATGAGACACCAGTGCGTTGGCCGACCTGAATTGACGGCTCAGCTGTCAGAGCGGACCCGACCTGAGCGATTCGGCCTATCCCTTCATGACCGAGAATGCGGCGTGTAGGTCCAAGTGCCCCTGATGCCAGTGCGGAATCAGTTCCGCAGACCCCTGTGGCGGATAATTTGACTAGAACATCCAAGGGCCCTAGATCTGGTAATGGAAGCTCCACGAATTCGTATCGGGACAGCGAGCCTGGTTCCTTTGAGTCCAATAAGCATGGGGCAAGCTGGGCCTACAGTAGTGTCAATGGGATATATCACGTACTGCCAGCACGGCGGCTTTGAAATGGGTTGGTGACATGGTGGTACTTTGTTAAGTGGTGTGGTCAGCCCGAGTTGCACTGCGAGGATGGATGTCGTTTGATATTTGATTTTGACTTGGGTGAGTAACAGTGGAACAGTTACCTGGCTGCGATTACTGAGCTGACTATATATATCGTTTAGCATGGTTGTATAGTACCTGGGATTGGTCATTTTCAAGTGAGGGACGGAAAGACTAGGAAATCTGAGTCAGTCGGAGACGCCCCCGCAGAAATCAGATGCGGGAGTGAGCGATGCCACGGAGTACAAGGCTTCAATCGTAAATGGTTGCGTTTAGCGTTAGCCAACGTTAACTAATGTAATCCACAAGCCGCGCACCTCCCGCGATTTCTACCAAAATCATATCAAAAGCAAGAAATTAGCTCTGTACACCAGGCAGCACGTGTTTATATAGTCTCTGAATCATCTTTACAAGACCAGCTTCATAGCAGTACTAACCGCGCTGAGAAACGTGCCAATGGCCACAAAATGACACCAAATGAAGAAGAATCGCTGGCCAATATTTTACTACATACTATATCTGAACGTGTATGAGCTACGAATATGGCGATCTGCCGACAGTCGGATGTCGCGCCACCCCCACCTCCGCTTTTAAACCGCTGTGAGGGAAGCTCCGATGTGGGGTTGCAGAGGTTAGATTGGCATCATCCAAGCCAAAAAGGGTAAAATGCAGCAAACTCGTAGGATTAGTAGAGAGCAATACGTCGAATTTAATCAACTTCGGCCTGGTGATGACTCGGAGTTATCCCGAAAACGAGTATGCATAAAAAAGGTCTATGCCTCAAAGAGGACAACTGCTAGCCACAGAAATTAAAGATTCTTTTTCCTAATATTTCTTTTTCCATACTATTCTACACATCATGAGTCCTGCATCCAACCTTCAGGTTCCTTTGGCATTGCCTCCAAACACCAGTCTGGATGCCTTTTCACGGTTCATCGCTGCCAGCGAAGGAATCGTCGGTCGAGAAAATATCCGCATCGTGGAATCAAAAGAGGAGTTGGATGATGGGTCCTACTACGAGCCACCCAAGACACATGACCCCCATCATGTTCTGGACCAGGATTACTTCCTGGCCTCGGCAGTCATAAACCCAAGATCGGTACCAGAAGTCCAGAGCCTCATGCAACTGGCAAATGAGTACAGAATCCCTATGTGGCCAATATCCATTGGGCGAAATTCTGGATACGGAGGGGCTGCTCCGCGGCTTCGGGGTAGCGTCGTCTTGGATATGGGTAAACACATGAACCGAATTTTGGAAGTGAATGTCGATGGTGCCTATGCCGTTGTGGAGCCCGGTGTGACTTACTCTGATCTACACGCGTACTTGGTTGAGCACGATCTGAGAGATAAGTTATGGCTTGATGTATGCTTTCAATTTTCCCCGCCTTAAGAGGAAAAATGACCTAACTGAAGACGGACAGGTACCGGACCTTGGCGGTGGATCAGTCCTGGGCAATGCCTTGGAGCGAGGAGTAGGATATACTCCATATGGTGGTGAGTGATCTCTGGTTGCCCTAGGTCCGTAGACTGCAAGGAGAAGAGTTAACACGTTTCAGACCACTGGATGATGCACAGTGGATTGGAAGTTATCCTGCCTTCAGGTGAACTGCTGCGCACAGGGATGGGGGCATTGCCGCAAAATCTCCAAAAGTCGGGCAACACTATTGACGAGGAACCTGGAAACAAATGCTGGCAACTGTTTCCATATGGATTTGGTCCGTATAATGATGGGCTATTTTCTCAGAGCAATTTGGGCATTGTAACCAAGATGGGGATCTGGGTATGAACTACATAGGATCTTCCTTCGTCTATCCGCAACATGAAGCTGACAATTCTAGTTGATGCCTAACCCTGGTGGATACCAAGCCTATATGATCACGCTTCCCAGGGATGAAGATCTACATCGTGCAGTCGACATCATTCGACCCCTTAGACTGGTAAGCCATCTCTTCTCTTCTCTTGGGCCTTTCAAAAATGGAGTTAACAGGTTCCATAGCAAATGATTCTTCAGAATGTTCCCACATTGCGGCATATCCTACTCGATGCTGCTGTCCTCGCTCCGAAGGAAAAGTACACCTCGGACCCGACAAAGCCACTGGGTGAAGCTGAACTTGACGCAATTGCAAGGAAGCTGAACCTTGGCCGGTGGAATTTTTATGGCGCCCTCTACGTTTGTTTCCCTTGCGCAATGCCAACGCTTCCCAAGCACTGTTCTGATTTTTCATTTGCAGGGACCGGAAGAGATTCGCAACACAAACTGGTCGTTGATCAAAAAGGCCTTTTCGTCTATTGAGGGGGCCCAGTTCTTTTTCCCTGAGGATGTCAAGGACTACTCAGTCCTTCACACGCGCGAGAAGACCTTACAGGGCATTCCAACGTACGACGAACTCCGATGGATTGACTGGGTGCCCAATGGAGCCCACCTGTTTTTCTCCCCTATCAGTAAGATTTCTGGAGACGATGCCATGTTACAGTATTCAGTCACCAAGAAACGTTGCCAAGAGGCCGGACTCGATTTTATCGGCACTTTCTCTGTTGGCATGCGAGAGATGCGTAAGTCTTCCGCCCAGGGGGGTTAGGTCCGAGACAGCTGATTTTGTTTCCACCCACGCAGATCATATTGTGTGTATTGTATTCAACCGCAAAAATCCCAAGTCCAAGAAGAAAGCGCATTGGCTGATCAAAACCCTGATCGCGGACTGTGCTGAGTATGGTTGGGGTGAATACCGCACGCATCTAGCGCTCATGGACCAGATTGCAGAGACATACAACTGGAACAACAATGCGCAGATGCGATTCAATGAGACGGTGAAGAATGCTCTCGATCCACAGGGAATCTTGGCTCCGGGTAAGAATGGAGTCTGGCCTTCCAAATATGGTCGACGGCAGTACAAGCTCTGAGGGGATCATCTACACCGGGTTGTGCCTATAGTATCTGCTGCTTGAAGAGCACCAACATCAGAACTGGGTTGATTCTCAGTTAAAATTGTACAAAAATTTTAAAGCTAGCCACCTGCATCCGGTCTTTTACATGTACGGAGTATAGTATCAATTTTCAAACTATATGTGGAAATACAATGAGAATGAATCGAATGAAGCAAGGAATACGTAGTGAAGATCCGCGACACCTAGCGATGTAACGAAGGGATCCCTTGATATAGATCCACCCCTGCTGAAATAGGGCCAATAAATTGATTCCGCTTTGAGAAGCAGGTCTGTATCGCATTTATCAGCACTTCCTATGACAGGGAGCCACAGTGGGCTCACTGTCACTATTTCGTCCAGAGTTACGTGCATTTCCTCATTGTGATTGTACCTGTCCATAGTCAACGTAATTAACAATAGGTGGTCACCCACCTATTAACAGAGTAGAAATACAGCCTCACTCGCTACGCGAGCGAGGCAAAAACAAAAAACATACAACAGCCGGGATTCGCTGGTGGTCACCCACCCAACTACTAACCGGCCGGCGTGTGGCTTAAGTACGGCTGAGCGGACGGGAAGCCCTGTTCTCCACACCCTATGGTCGTATGTAGTTATTTATTGGTTTTATAATTACATAAGATTATATATTAACTAGTTATGTCTGCAATTATCACATAAAGTAGAAGGCATAAGTTTTGCTAGAGAACGAGCATATCTCAATACGTCTCTTCTTTCTAACCCTTCATCGTGGCTGATGATAGCCAACCAGAAGGCGGAACAATTCTCGAATGCACGATAGGCTGTCTCATTCCAGGCTTGATCTAGCTACTATTCAGGTTAGCAGTGGTATGTGTTAGGGGTCACACCTCAATTGTCTCAATCTAAAAGGATGCCGTACGTACGGGATCGTACGACAACCCCATAACAGTATGCTATTTAGAGCTAGATTTACAGCTGAATGGCATTTCAAGATTACAGTGAATACAGCAATAACAATTCTAATATATACCATTCACCACTTGAATCGATAGGTATACTTTTACCTTAGTTGTCCTCTTCCCTTGTTTCTTTATATCTTCCCCCCTGGTCAAATTGCGGCCTTGCCTTGTACATGTACTTGGGCAGGCGGTAGGGCTACTCCCGCTTTCCGTATACGGTTATTGTGAATATCGGTCATCATCACCTTTCCTTCGATAGCTCGGACTCTCTCCATCTATCACCATTCCCTCATATCGCTTCGTTTCATCCTGAAATATGGACACCCTTCTAAGCTCTGTTGATTCATTAGAATATAGTATCGAAGACAGTTCACAACTCGGTTCGTGAATTCAAATATGAATGCCTTGAAGAGTCCTTCGGGATTCGAGATACGAGGTTCGGTGACCGTGAGTGGGAACTCACAAACGAGTTTATTCTCGCTGCTCCTAGACTAGGTTTGTACTGTCCCCATAGTCGAGGAGCATCCCTGCTAACTCAAGATAGATTATGTGCTCGCCATCATTGCCACCGCAGTGGGAGTTCGGAGGAAAAGGACGAGAGTGAGGATGGTGGGTGTAAGGTGACATTGATGTTTTATATGGTATATGAAGCTTTAAAAGGACTCGCTCAGGTGAGTATAGAACCAGGCTAGTTGCTATAAAGCTGCTTTGAATAGTTGATGATGATAGAGCCTGATAATTGACAGTAGAGTATATATAGAGGAATTCTATTTTATCAACAGTGTTGATTCCCTTCTACACCTTATTGATGATTCTTTGACCATATAAGTGCTTCAATGGCGAAAAGCAGCCAACATCCAATGGTTGGAGGAGATGAGATGAATGTTGTCACGGGCTCAGTAACTAGTAGATAAAATGAATAATATTCATATCTAGTGTGACGGCTCAACGGCTCAACGCCGCCATGCAAGCAAACAAAGAAAGCACTTAGAACGGTCACAGAGCCCGTATATAAAAACTATTTTTTCCTGTAGACAGATTCCTCTTCTTTTTTCCTCTCCAGATTCGATAGCGACTGTAGAAGGTGTGACAAATGAGGAGGCATACAAATAGGTATAATTATATTCTCACTGCAAATTTGATCAAATTGGGGTGTTGAATCGCTTCCATGGCCATTAAGGACAAGAAGTCGATATGGACCCTTTGTTCGGCTTGTTTTTGATGGAATAAAGAGCTTCTGAAGTCATCAAAGGCCAATCTTATCAGTACTAGTCCACCCATTGTCGCTGACCTTGATTTGCCAATTATCTGGTAGGATTGAGTCTTTGTGTCACGGAGCGCGGGCGCTCACCAGCGGCATGATATGTTTGACTACTTTGGCCTGTTTGGATATAGGGCAGGGACCCTTTCACACACACTAGATAGCTCAGCGCCGGCAGACCCAGCTTCTTTCTTTTCTTTCTTCATGTTAGTATTTCGTCATATAGTCTACCAATAGATTCCTATTGCTCGAGACCGTCACACTTTGTACCATGCTTGTATGGCTCTCCCCTTTAAAGACTATATATGGGGTCAAGGGCTACCCTAACGCGTTGATAGACTCGATTGCAGTGACCCATTCTTGATTGCTTGGTTGTAGAAGAGCACGTCAGCCATAGTATTCAGCTCTTATAATCACTTTTGCAGTTGCAATTAGGCTCATTGCAAAGCCAGTCTCATCAAAGTTATAGATGTCGTCTGGTAGGATACCATATTGCATTATGGTCTGTTGTACAGTGTCAAATTATCTCTGAATGGTCTTTGAGTCCTCGCATTTAGCTCTCATAATTATATCATCTAGAAAATCGAGTTTTGAGCTCATAATGGCGCTTAACGAAGGTATAGACCCCGTTTTTGCCAGCTGTTTGAATGGGGGTTTCACCTCGCCGTGCGAGAAGATTGGCCATTTCTCGTACAGCTGCTGGCCTAGTACTGTGAAGGATTCTCAGATGCAGCCATTCATCTGAGGCCCATAGAGGGAAAGGGCCAACTCTATGATACCCATACGCTTTTTTCAGGTCGATGTGGAAGGTCCTATGATTATAGTTCCTCATTCCTGGAGCTACTTCGCGGGCTTTGAAGCCATTCCTCTGCCACTGGTTCCAACTTCAAACACTAAGCGATCTTGGTATCTGCACATAGCCACAAACGAATCTTGCCTCTTGATAAGTAGTTCAGCGCTAACTGGGAGGGGACCTTTGTACGCCTAAATTAAAAGAATAGCTCCCGGGTTTCACTTACCTTAATAATCTGAAATCGCAGGGGCGATAGTGCAGAGAGCGCTCGCCCCCTTACAGGTTACTTATAATGATATCATGTATAGAGAATGTCAAGTCACAAGTAATTCAATTCCTCACATTCTTTTTTACAGCAAACACGATAGCCAAAGTGTGCGGTGAATTCCGTATACGCTACTTTAAATAGGCATATGGAAGAATGCACATGTATATCGACTCCTAATATCCATAATCAAGCTGCAAGATGCCAGTTTCTTCAAACGACAAGCACGGCTGCTCTCAGGTATCAAAGCATCTATTTCATTTCACCCTCCCCAAGGCAGCGCTTCAGAGGGTAAGAGTCTCCCAAGCAAGTTGTAACCACACCCTTTACCCAGGACAGGGAGTTCTGTCCGTAGGTATATGTATTCTGGGTGAAAGAATCGGCCTGGAAGTACTCGTACTGCGCACTTCCAGGCTGTCCGTTGAAAACGTACCCGCTCTTGCGAAAGGTCAGGGGGTTGCTAATGATCGCGCCCCATCTGTTCTTCGGGATTGTCATTGTAACCGTACCGGTGAGCGTGGCAGTCTCCGTCCACTGGTAGTTTATGGTTGTACCGATCTGTAGGAATTCCTCAACTGTGGCCGTGAACGAGGTGCTAACTGAGATGCTGTTTGCGATACTCTGGCCTTGAGCCATAGCAGCGGTGGCGTCGGCTTCGTTTGCATGGATGATGGTGGACATTGGGATGTCCCAGCCAAGGAATTCGGCATCAGGAAGAGGGATGATAAATTGGGCACCAGCACGCTTGCTCAGACGTCTTGATGAGGTGGACTGGTTATGCTTGGTCTCGAAGGATCTAGGGAAAGAATCGGTAGGGGGCGAGGGAGCAACGCTACCCAGATTGAGCCCCAGATCCTTCTTGTCGATAGTCTTCATCGTGCCATCGTGTAGGAGGAGGACGGCCTTGTCATGTCCGATGCTCTTGGGGCTCACAGTCTTGTCGGAGGGTAGAGCACCAGCAAGTGAGCTGCTGATACAGAGGGAGGCTAGGAAAAACAAGTGTACTTTCATCGTGTCAGGTCAGAAGGAAATCTTTCAATAACCGGGTAGATGTGCGTGAGAATAGATCAACGGAAAGTTGGCATGTCAGAGTAAATCATGGGAAGAAGACTTTATGTAGTGTCTGTCGGGGGATATCGGCTTTCATTCTTCGGTCAACGTGAGAAGGAATTACTCTGTACTTTCGCTAGACTAGACAGATCCGACATACACTGCCATATTACCGGAAAAGATCAGCTATCATGATAGGATTCCAAGGCATTTACACGACAACCCGTGTTGTTTCACCTGGATAACCCCGAGAAATAGCCGTAGATATACAGATGCAAAATCCATCGAGCCATGGCGGAAAAAGATTGCGAGATTAATAAATTTGACTTTTCCCGGCCGTTAAACATCATGTAGATCATGGGCCGTGGGGGCTATGATGCCAACCCATTGGCTCCAAAGGGATCTACCGAGTGCTTAAGTCCCCGGTTCATAACAGACTAACTAGAGTGGGCGTGCAACGGCTGCGGGGACCTATAGTTCGGTTCAGATAAGAGTGGGCTGGTCAGGTTCCGTACCATGCCTGGGTGTAATCTCCCAAGGTATACGAGTAAAACATGGCCCGCTTCAAGGGACCTGGCAGGATGAAAGCGGCGATCATGAAACACCGTGCATGCAGATTAGGAAATAAAAATCTCAGATCATTGTACGCATGGGGATTCCTCGGGGTTTTCTATCTTAGCCGCCTTAGCCCAAGGAAGGGCATCTGAGCTATATTGATACACGGGGTAGGCACCTCCTTCTGAGCGTTCTTAAATACCACTTTTCCATATTTGCAAGTGGTTAATTTTACGATTGCAAGCCGACCTTTAGGAGACAACTCATACCGATAATCACATTTCATCAAGCTGAAAGAATGATGGTCTCTATTCCCTTCATTGTTGCAGCCCTGGCCACTAGGTAAGCTCTTTGCTCAGCCGACGTGATTGACTCCAGAACTGATGCTTCATAGTGCCTTTGCAGACATTCACACTCAAGGTGTCTGTATTGATACCCCTGGCTCCGGAGTGGTAAGTCTTACTCGTCATAGTCCTACCGCTGAATAAGAGCACTTCTAACTGCTCTACAGCAAGTCTACAACAAAGCCGCCACCGAAAAGACATGTGATGCTTATAAAAACCGAAACACCGGTAGCAAGCAATGGGATCAATGCCCCGACTGTACATTGAAGAGTGAGCGGGACCTGTTGTACTACTGTGAGTCCGAGGGCGAGCACATTGGAGGCGACGAGTTGAACTATTATTGCACGCAAAATGGTGCGGGAGATAGTGTGGCTTGGTAAAGGAGCTCTTAGGAAGGGGCAGCTAGAGGGCCCGGATTTCTACTTCTATCTGTTGCAAGCAAGCTATTTTGCCCTGTGTGTGATGTTTGTATAATTCATGTCCAAAATGGATTAATCGCTATGTTTAGTTGTGGTAATGTAACATGAGGACCCATTCACAATTCATAAATCTGTGAGACCATAGCGAAACTTCCTATTGAACAAGAAGAAGACTCACAAGAGCAAAAAGTAGATCACTAGTCCATTTTTCATCTCAGCTTCGCTGGGGGGCCTCGAAATAATCTGAAGGCAATGTCCAGGCATAATCTCTGCACTGTTATCACTAATTATAGGCTGCATCACATCCCGAATCGCCAATGGGCTGCCGTTGGAAGGCTTGTGTTGGGAAAGATTCCTTAATACCCATTTTCAGTTACATACATCTGGGAATGCAATGGAATTATTATTATTATTATTATTATTATTATTCATACACGCATCTGTCAGCCCTATAGGCCGAGTAGCGGCAGGTCCTGCAGGGCAGCCGGGGAAGCCGCCGTAATGGTAGTCGCTATGTACATCGTCGCCTTTATACACATATCCTGATATCTCATTCCGCGTGTTGTATATCCCGTGCTGCTGGTTTTCGTGCCGCTGTTCCCATGGCCACGAGGATCCATGGGCTTGTTGGATACTATCTCGTTTCCTTCCCTACTTCTGCAAGCGTGTAACCTTGGCTGCGTTATGCTG